AAGCCTGTAGCCTATAGCTCTCATACTTTATGACTTACCATACCATACTACAGTCTATAGTCCTATACTAAGGCATAGGAAGCAGGAGGCAGTTCTAAGTTAGTTGCTTTAAGGCGTAGCCGGGGGTTTCGTTTTGGACTCTTGGCTCTTTGAACTTTTAACGTTTCTGTTTGGGCCCTGTGTAGGCATCCTGCCCATGTCATCTTGGACCTGACGAATGAGTTCGGTTCCAAGTTGTGGCTCGGCGGATCGAAGGCAGGCACCGACACTAACCTGATGATCAGGAATGGAATCGGAGCGGTGTGGCCTGCGGCCAAGTCGGTCCAGCCGGATGACACAGCGGCGATCCGTGTATTGAGGTACACAGATGGGACTGGCGTCGTGCACGGCAACGTGAACATGGAGAGCGTGCTGCAGCAGATCGACAATGTGATCTCCTTGCTGCACCGCGGCGTGTCGGTCCTCATCTGCTGTGTCAACGGAGCCCATCGCTCCGCGACACTTGGTGCCATGACGCTCATGCGCCTTTTAGGCTGGTCGGCGACAGAAGTTGCGAACCTCGGCATTTCAGTATAGTCACTGTGTGCTTTCCAGTGAGTCAGACGTCGATGTGTTTGCCAGAAAGGCTGTAAGAGACAAGAATCAAGTTCAGGATAAGGTTACCTTAATCTTATATTAGGCCGCATTTGAGAATCTACAGGAACTATGTCTCCACATTGCGCAACATCGTCGACCTGAACAGCAGAGCGCCGCCATCGCAGTACAGAGTGAACACTATTCGCCCCATCGACTTTTTGATCGAGCACCAAGCAGAGATCGCTGGTAAATCGGGGGCCTCAGGCCTGGTCCAGGTCGGCAGCAACCAGGAGATATTTCCTTCCACGAGATATGCGAACGCCCTCATCACCCCTGTTCAGTTTCGTCGGCGCTGCATAGAAATGGGGTTCGTCCTTTCAGGCAAGGGCAAGCGGACTCGCCAGTCGTTGCCAGGGCCACAGTCATTGATATCGTCGATGCCGCCGCCGCCCCCGCCCGGTCGCTCAAGCTCGACCCACCTTCGGTCCAAAGCTCGACCAGTCAAGCCGAGATCGAAGGGCGTTTCGCCAGGTCAGGTGCGGCAGAGTGGCACAGACACGGACTCCTCGTACATCAACGTTCCGACGGATGGTTTCTTAGAGCTGAAATTTTTATATTATATATTTTTTATGATGAAGATAATTATAATGTAAGCAAGACAGAACGGCTACAGGTTTCGGCAAATAGTGCATTTGGTCTTGGTCCGTCACTAGATTGCCCAGTCTAGACTCTAGGACTCTAGGTAGTACACAACTCAGGTTTCATTACCGACGACTCAGAGATGCCGCACCCCAAGCGCATCAGCGAGGATTCGTCGGCCTCTGGCCAGGTCAGTGCCGCCAGTGCAGATGATGAGGCAGTGGACCCACCAGTTATGGTTGAAATTGAGGTTGCAGACGACGAAGAGAACGAGGAGTCCACCATGGAGAAGGCCTGCGAAAAGGGTGCAGCCGAAGCAGAGGAGCCGGAGTCAGACTTTGAGATGGTGACCTGCGATGACGAAGGCAAAGTAGCCGATGTCAATCCAGAGTCGCCTCCGCAGACGCCCCGTGCAAACTGGACTTCGGAAGACTTTGCACGCCTGGAGACAGTGATGCGCGATCTGGGGCACCTGAACCGCCAGCTGCTCTCTTTCAACAATGCTGAGGTCGAGGAGGATCAGGCCCAGGCTGATGATCAGGCCTCGGCCTCCGGCCCGGTAAGTGACCAGATCGCAGAGCCAGGGCAGCAAGCGGCGGAAGCGGATGAGCCAGGCGGTTTCTCGTCTTCTGCTTTGTTGCTTAACCACTTATGATAGGGAAGGGTCTTGATGAAGGTCCGGGTTGAGAAAACGGTCTGGGGTTTTAGGGTACAGCTAGTTACTTTAGCCCTTCCAGCCCATTGTCGCCCAAGCTTCAAGACTTCAAGCCGATCCAAGGCACCAGCGCAGACCCCGTGGAATCGGACGAGGGGGCCCGGGACGAGGCCTCGGGCCAGGTTGATGATGAGCCTGCGACTCCTGCGACGGCCGAGTCCGGAGAGCCGCTGGAGCCCTCCAGTTTGGACCTCGAGAAGACGATGGAAGCGCTCAAGGCGCAGGCGGCGGAAGGCGATAAGGACGAGATGCTTGGGAGGCTTTTTGGGCTACTTGAGACCCAGAAAGTCCAACAGCAGGCTCTATTGTCGAGACTGCAATCTCGCCAAGAAATGGACGAGAGAAAGAACGTCATCCTCACAGCGCTGTACAATCGCGACATGACGCGCCTCAGGGCGGAGCTCCAAGCGCTGACGGTCTCTGACCTCGTCTCAATCAGAGACGAAGAGGGGATGACAGTCGCCCATCATGCCGTGCGTTTGGGCCTTGGGCCTTGTCTGGAGTATACTCTCCGGAAAGCCCCGACTCTTGCGGATGCCGTGACGAACCCCTCAGGTCGCCCAGCGAACTGGACGCCGTTGATGGTGTTGGTTGATGCACCACCAGGATCTTTGGGAGGCACGGACTACGCCTACGACATGTTGAAGGTCCTGGTTTCCTACATGAGCGTCACAGGTCTCGTGAATCTCGGTCCTTTCAAGTAGTGTTCGTGTTTGTAAATATGTACTTCGGTGTGTGCTTAGTAAGATTAGTAAAAGATTATTCTTGAAGATTTTCGTGCCAACGTGACACAGTGATGTATTGGCCTTGGGCCGGGTCTTGCCTGGTGATTTTGGGCAGTTTTCTCTTGTTCTAGTGTTGCTAAGGACCAGGTCTCCAACAGGGGCGACAGCGTTTCACATTGCAGCCTCTCGTGGGAACCACCGTGGGCTGCAGAAGCTTTTGTGGTCCCTCTACCACAAGAGTGGTGGTGACAGGAACTCAACCTACGCATTTGGCCTGGTGACCTCACTCGTCAACAGCCCCGGCTTGAAGCGCGGGCAGGGGGTCGTCGACGCCGCACTCGCGAACAATGTCGACTTGGCGATGTATGTGAAGCGGAATTGGGGCGGGGTCGAGCTTTTGTCTCCCCCAAGCCGCCCCAAGCCGCGGCGGCTATGCTGCGTAGAAAGTCAGAGTGTTGGCCTCAGGCCAGGTCAGAGCTGTCGCAACCAGGAGGAACCCCCACTAAGTATAGTTTCAGCCCAAGCATGGCATGTCGATCGTTGTCTAGAATTGCACAGATGTTTTGTTGGGTTACTTTCGTTTCATGTTGCTGGGCGACAGTCTCTGACCTGAGCAGTACAGTCCCAATCTTCCACAGTGTTCCAGAGGGCAGGCTGGACTGGTACAGTGACAGCATCAGACATCAACGGCCTGGCCTTGGGCCAAGCCTAGCTTAGTTTGCTTTCGGTACAACGAAAGGTCAAAGTTGGTTTCATTGATCGGCCTTTGGCCAAGTCCAGTCTGCTATCGCTGTCGCTCAAGTCGATTTCACAAACGACGACTGCATTCCTTTCGTGTGTGATTTCGCTTGCTGTTGCTGCCACGTGAAAAAGATCACGTCGTTTCTGCCGCAATAACTACGCGAGGCTTGTGCATGGGCTGCATGGGTTCCAGGCAGATTAGTTAATGTCAAGTCAAGGCAATGCAACTTGTGATTCAGGCTACCGACATCTGAGGGCTTGACCGTTGCAGTGCAGTTTCCATACCCCAGGCAACATCCCCCTAGATGTTGATGCTCTCAGTCCGAACTGTCGTCAAGTTAGTGTTACAACACATCCTACTCTACCCGCTTTGTTTTGTGAGTTTGTTACATGTGACTATGACTATGACTCTACGACTATGTATGCGACGCTTTATGAATGCTAGCTGCTAGCTCCCTGCATGGAACCCAGGTTGCAGTCTAGTTTGCTGCTGTTATTGGCTGTTATGCAGTTATGCACTCGACAAGCTTGCATCGCAGCGTGATAAGTTTTCAATAGTTCAGCCAAGACATGTTTTGAAGCGATTTTGAACCGATTTTGAAGCGATTTTGAACCGATTTTGAAGCGATTGCCTGCAGGACGGCCAGTTCACGTATGTGGAGGAGCTGATTGCTGCAAGGACCGAGCCGACTCTGTTTGCAAAGCCTTCGGCTTGGTGGAAGAGGTTTTGCTCAAACCCGTTTTGGTGCCAGCTTTGAACAAATGGACGAAGGTTGCACCTTGCATGCGGCACATTTCTGTGATGCAGAATTTTTGCAACCTTGTTCCCCAAGCCTTCGAGGCCGCCTTCGGCACATCGAAAATGGTGCCTGAAGCGCCAGACGACGAAGAAGAAGGTGCAGATGTTGGAGCCCCGCTTAACGAATCAAAGCTGTGGGCCCGATTGGCCAGGTTACGGTTGGTGAAGGCTGGGGTTTTTTTACAGGACAAGTCTTTCCATTGGTCGACAGTCCTGTGGACCGTGTTGACTGCGCCAGTCATGAACATTCATTATGCATTGTTTAAGCACGCCACATGGTTGTCAGATCGTGATCTAGAAGCACCGGAAATGCAGGAGGAGGGGGATTTGGAGTTGGATAGGTCTTTGACCGCGTCTTGCTTTTGCAAGGCAGCTGAAAATCCCGCCAAGAAGGCGATGGCGTGCCTTTCAAAGATGCTTGATGACGTCGCCAGCGACGAGTGGGGTCCCGCCGTCCTGTGCTTTGGCCCGATTCTGTCGTGGCCTCAGGCCAGGTTGCGAGTGCTTCGGCGAGGATTTTTCACTGTGGTGGGTCAACTCTGGAGGAAGCTGCTTTATCCTTGGACGCAATACCCATGGAAGCTAGCATGTCTGATCGACAGCGAAACGACCAATGCAGAGAAGCAGCGTTGTGCTCAGGATTTGTTTGATCAGCCTGTGTGTTGTTTGGATGGATTTGCTAGGAAGCTGCGCGAGGTGCGAAAGTCTTCAAACAGTTTGATGGAGGATGATGTGTTGGAGTTCTTGCAAGCAGTGTTTGAACGGATCGTTCCCACTTCCACGTATATTGAAAGAATGTTTGCAAGACTGACAGAATGGAGTGGACCAACGAATCAGAGAGGGCCGAAGAGAAGATTGTCAGCAGTCGTATCCAAGCACTGCGCGCACACGTTCGAGCACCATGTCAAGAGGTGGCGGAAGATGACTTTGAGGCAAAAGCGCAAACGTCTCCACAACCGAAGGCCTGCATGGGCGCAAGGTAGGCTGAAGGGCAAGGCGCGAAATGGTTGGCATGCTTTTGCGCAGGACTTGTTTCGTCGGCATCCTGGGCTTTTGCAAGCGTCTCGAGGTGACCGCAATGCAAGAGTGGCCGCTGAATGGGCCCAAGCCGACAAAAAGCGCTGGGCCGCTGTCGCACGCTCTCAGAACCTCCAGGCCAGTAGTGCAGTGGATCAGGAAGCGAGTGCAGAGGATGCCCAGGCCGCCGCCGATTTTGTTGGAGGTCCTTGGAATATTGGTGCCGCAGACGGGTTCCCTCTAGCGCGGCACAGTATCGCTGCTGATTGCAACAAGGTCAAAGCAATCGCAAATGCTTTTCATGCACAGCACAATGTCCTGCAGCCGGAAGAGGCCAACAGCTTGTTGGGAGCTCCGCCTGAACCGTGGCCTCTGTTCCCCACATGCACAATCAACGGCTGTGAGCATTCACTGCCAGAAAAGAAGCAAGAATGCATGCAGCATCTGCGTGCGCTGTTCTGGCGCGCCGTGCTGCAAAAAGCCCCCACAGCCAAATCCACAGGGAAAGAGCCGTTGCTTCTCTCCTTTCATTCCGCCACACTAGATGCAACTCTAAGCCTGGCTGTTGCTTTTCACACTCTCCGCGCCCCGCACCAGGCGGCAGTGCTTCTTCTCCACCCTGTAGAAATGGCTGATCTTGCAGGAGAGGGTGTTGTTGTGAGCCTGCATTGTTTTTCGCAGAGTGGTCGAAGAGAGCTTCAGCTTGAAAGCGAGAGTGTGGCTTTGGCAAGGCTTGCCCGGCAAGCGTCCGACTGGAAATTGAACGTGCTAGACGTGGGGCCTGTGCGTCACATCAACAGGTTCGACATTACAGCATCCCATCCTTTCGATGACAAAGATGGCGGCGATGCGGGTTTGCCAGTGCAGGTTGATGCTGACACTGAGGCTGCGCTTGTTGCATTCGATGCATTGCACCCATCTGCTCAAAAGAAGGGCCCCAAGAGGCAGTTCCAGGCCTCAGGCCAGGTTGGGCACGCAAAGCCTTCAGGCCTCAAGACCGAGCCAGAAGCGAAGAAAAAGCTTACCAAAGAGCAGAAAGCGAAGCGTGCACAGATTCGGGCCGAAAAAGCGCTGCAAGGTATAATTCCTATGCCCTCGGATTCAGAATCCGACGCTGCCGGTGATGGCAATGGCAATAATGTCCAAAATGCAGATGAAAAAAATGAAGAAAACATTAATGCAGAATCCGAGCTTGAAGACTTGGAGGCTCCCAAAGTTTTGGTTCCAGAGGAGGAACTCACGCAGTACGAGCAACCAGCTTCAAGTAGCTCAGTCGTGCCCAAACAGCGGCAACTTCAGACACGTTCGATGATGAAGCGGGGGCAGCCATGGGGAATCTTTTCCCTTTCTCCAATCTACCGTGATGGGGTTCATGTTGCTTGGGAGGCACTGTGTCGCTGCCACAACAACCTCGGGGATAAGCTGGGCTCGTCCTGCAAAAAGTCCGTCTCCATAGCGAACATGACAGACGCAGAAGCAAAACTGCGACTGAAACGTTGGCTGGTTGCAGGCTTGGACGACTCGGAGTGGCGCGACAATGAAAAGCGCAGCTGCCACCTGTCTCTGGGCGGGCCCTTGCTTGCACATTTTGCCGAAGGTTTGTCTGAAGCTGAGCTTGATGTCAAGGCTGGGGTGCGCCAGTGATTTTTTATGGTGTTGCTGGATGCCGTTACAAGAGCTTGACCTTATAATTCAGGGTTTGCAGGGTTTAGGGTTTAGGGCCTCGAGCCGGGTCTCTGAGAACCTAGCTAGAAATCCAGCAGACTTGGTTGAGCGTGGAAAAGCCAAAGCTGCAACAGCTGCTTCATGGGCTTGCGCCAAAAAATCAAAAAACGGCTTCAAGGACCAACTTTTGTGATTTGTGGCTTCAAGCCAGGTCTAATCTTCGCGAACACGCGTTCTGCCGCTATTCGAGCGGTCTGTGATCCTTCCGATTGGAAACCCAAACACGTCTTCCAAGACGAGCTTTTGTGGCCTAAGGCCAGGTCTCAGCGCGAAAGCCTAGAAATCCAGGAGTCTTGGCAGAGCGTGGAAAAGAAAAAAAAACCTTCAAGGACCAGCTTTTGAGATTTGTGGCCTCGGCCAGGTCTATATTCTATATTGACCAACGCGCGATATGTCTATGTCGCTGGTCCAGCGTTCAAAGATGAGCGTCTGTGGCCTAAGGCCAGGTCTCATTGCAAAAGCGCAAACCCGGAAATCCCGGAGACTTGGCAGCGTGGAAAAAAAAGCGGCAACAGCTGCTTCGGGCTTGAAGGCCTTGCGAAAAAGCTGAAGAGGACTATCGGCGATCGGGTCAAGGCGATTCCGCAAAGCAGCCGCTTGGAGGCGTCGTTCAAGCAGGAGATCCGTGGTTGTTTGCATAGTCGCAGACTTTTCTTATTTGGGTTAAGTGTTTGGTGATTTTGTAAACGCGCGCAGT